TTATTTGGCGGTAGTCCACTACTAACCGCCATCTTTTCGTGTTTGAATTGGGTAAAGATTTTTTCTGCACTAGTAAAAGTGGGCTATTGTATTCGGACTGGGATGGTTCCACTAAACCGTCGTCTACTAATTTTTGGACTTGTTTCTTAATTTCGTCCTTATACGCATATGGGGTTCTATAATTCTTAATATATATTGGTTCATCATCTTTAAGTCTTATTTTTTGTTTATAAAAATTATTTGTTGTTATTGGTTCTGATTCGAGTCCAAAGACATCACTGTAACTATTGCATATCTTAGTTAATTGTGCTTGAAATTGTTTAGGAAAATTTTTACTAAGTAATGAGAGTACTTCACTTTTTCGGTTTTCTTGAATTTTATTATGGTTTGTTATTTGGTAATTGGAAAGACTTTCTGTCTGAATACTATTGAGACTAAGTGTTTTATTTGTTGTATTCGTATTTATAATACGAATAAATGGGTTTTTGGTATTAACAATTGTATTGGCAATCAGTATACCTGGTTGCGGTTCCTGATTGACTACTAATACTTGGTTTTCTTCCGCGTCAACGTGTACCTGTCTGATTACTTCAGAACGTGCTGGTAAAATAATTTTGTTCGTATTAGAGTGAAGTATCGGTAAGTGAATGTTCAGACATGGACTATTGGGTCTTAGTATCAACCAATCTTGTTCCTTGTTGAAATCTATTAGACAATTGTACTTTTTTATAAAGTCCATGCCTAAAATTCCATCACAAGGAATAGGGAAATTTTCGTGTACTACATGAAATTCATGTGATACCAGAAATTTACTGACTCTGAGATCTATACATGTTGATCCTAATGACTCTATTGTACCTTGCCCTATACCTGTTATACGTGTGGTGCAAAGTGTATTCAAGGAGTACTCAAAGTTAATTTGTTTTAATAAGGAAATATCAGCACCTGTATCAACTAGAAGTGTTAACAGTTTATTTGTGTTATTGTTATGTACCTGTATAAAGATGCTTAGACTTAGATGAATATTATATACTTTTTTTAGTTGGTTAATTATTGATTTCTCAAGGGGACATTCGGGTTTTCCGGATCCTGATCTTCCCGTGCAATCACTCGCACATACCTGTTTCCAGCATTCCCACCATTATTGTTTTGGTAGTTCCGACGTCTGTAGTTGTTGTTTTGCCAGTTATTGTTATTGTTGGCATATCGATTGTACCTAGGTTGCCTTCCAGTGCCGCGATAATTGCCACGGTAATTTCCACGATAATTACCGCGATTATTGTGCTGAAATGCGCCGTTAGATTGTGATCTGTAATGAAGAATTGTGTCTTCTTTTCCTGTCGCATTTGTGCAGCTTGTGACGAACTTAGTTACTGCATCGCTCATTGTTTTGAACTGACCGGCTTCCATTATCAGTTTAACTTTCTCTAATGAGCAATTCTTAGTCATAGCGTTGACCGCTTGCTCGGTCGAGTATTTCTCTGCTTGTTCCCGAGATAAACCATCTGAAATGTATGCACATTGTAGAGATTTTGTTAAAGATTCTATTTCTTTAACATATTGGTTAGCCGTTTTACTCCTTTGCTGTATGTTCATTAGCTTGGCTGTGAGTACTGATACCGACTCACCTTTAACAGTGGATTTAAGTTTATCTGTTATTTGGCTCAATGATACTTCATTCTCTATCAGACTTCTTGTTGCTCCTTTAAGTTTTGTCTTCACAAGGGCTACAGCTGTTGCTTCATGACCATCCTTAAAAGTATCGACGATAGATAGAGCATCTAGAAAACTTTGCAAATTTTCTGGTGTTCCGTCAAAGTCAGGGATGACTTTGGTCGCCGTGTTTAGGAATTCTACTACTGTCATAGGCATTTTAATTTCAGAGTCTGGGTAATTAGAAGAAGAGTCTGAGTCTATGTTTAATTCTATAGTAATAGAAATTTTTTCATTTAATGTTGTGGGTATTTCAATATTAATACCTCTTTTTAAGGTAACTTTGATAGCTTTTTCACGGAGGTCTCCAAAGATTTTCCTCGCTTCCGCTTTGTGTGCGGTTGTGAACCTATCAAAGTGTACATTTAAAAGTACCCGAATACTTTCTAAACTTTGTAATAATAACGTACAGTGTTTGTGTAGTGTTGTAGCACTAACAGGTCTGTCTATTGCCATACATTTATATGACTTGTTAAACGTTTCTTTTAGGAAACGTATTTTATTCAATATTGTTTGCCATTCCATCAAACAATATTATTTTTTCAATTGTAAATTAAATTTACGAAAATCTTAACAATTTGGGTGCATAAGTTATATTAAACTATTTAAATTTTACAGATAATTCTATAACATAGCCATTATAAGCTAAAATTCAACTATTATATAAAATTTAATATTAAATTTTCTTATACAACTACATATTGGGAACTCAAAATTATAGTAAAAATATTCTATATATTTTAAGTATTAATCCAGTAATGAATTTTTAACTAAATGCAGCAGAGAGAAGAGAAAAAAAAATTACTAAACTCAAATTAAGCATTTTAAATGTTATCTGTTGAAACTGCACGATTCATATACTTCCTTTTAACGGAAGCTCTGTATTTTCCTATTAATTTGAGAACAATTTTTCCTATCACTATAACAACAAGAATAAGTAAAAGGAAATTTGTGGTTTTTAAATCACTTAAATCTGTTTGTACTTCCACTTCATTAATTACATTGGCCTGAGGCCTATCGAAATTGGCTTTTGGGCCGCACATTTCCAAATAATATTAATGAATGAATGAATATAAATCATAAAAATTGTATGGATATATAGAAAACATATATATAGAATACAAATATAAATATATAAATAAAATATAATTAATAAACAACTGTTTGTTAAATACAGTTGATTTTATATGAAAAAGTAAACTTTTTGTTAACATTAAAGTAAAACTAATACATTCAATTATATTTTTTTTTTAAAAAAAATCACTTATGTATATAGTTGTATTTATTATAACAAATTAATTTTTAATAATTTTTTTTTGAATTAAATATAAGAGTTATTCAATTTTATTAATTTTTAAACAATTTTATCATGATTTAGTTTAATTTGGTATTCGTGTTTTATAAATTTGTATTTATTATGATTATTGTTTTTCTTAAAGTAATTTCCAGAATAAAAAAATATTATTGATTTACAGGTTATTTCAAACTAATAAAATTTTCATTTCTATAAAATATATATTTTTTTTTTTTTGTTTTTTAATTTTTAATCTACTTGCTTGCATTCCCTTATATTTGGCATTATGTAGCAGCTGTTGTATTGCTGTGGTTGATGACTGTGACTTTTCTTGCATTCCCTTATATTTGGCATTATGTAGCAGCTGTTGTATTGCTGTGGTTGATGACTGTGACTTTTCCTTTTTGCGAGTGGGAAAAAAAAAATTTGTGCACCGTTATTTATTTTTATTTCACACGCTTTTTTTCACAAAATGGTTTTTTATTCCTTGGAATAAATATTTTTATTTTAATTATTAATATTTATATTATTTTGTCAACATTACTTAAAATTTAAAAGTGCGTCAAATATTTTTTTTTTTTGTTTTCTTTAAATTTTTATTTTGTTTTCTTTTTGTCACAAGTGTTTTTTGTTTTTATTTTTATTTTTATTTAATGAAAATAAAATATCCATGCTTGACTTTTAATATTAATTCTTGAAATATAAGAATTTTCTAAATAATTTTTAGTCAAATTAAATTTCACTTTAAAATTTAATTAATTTAATTTTTTTTTTTTTTTAATTGTTTAAACTTTAATTGTTCAGATTTTCTACATTTGAGTTCATTCGTTTGAGAAATCTGTCACGGTCGCCATGTAAACAAAATGAAAGATCCGTATCGTTTCATGTCTAAATCTTTATTGGAATGGTGTACATCAAAGTTATTATGCTTAACGTCTAAGTACATAGCGACACAGCGCATGTACATAACACTTATACTAATACATGTGCAAAACGTCGCAGCGCAAGCACATGCAGTTTATATTAAGTGTGCATAAACATATTTGACTAGCCAGCACATTCCACGACGCTTATCGCGTGGTGTCTAATTCCCGTTGCATAAATATCGCAAACAAAGTATGGGAATAAACTGAAGATTATTTATGTGCTGTGTCAATATGTGTATGCGCACTACAATACAAATGTATTGTATTGTCGTTTAATTTTTACTGTATTGTAGAATTGTTTCTTTCTCCTACTAATTATTATTGTATATATGTATCATTATATAGCAACGTAAAAGTACAAGTATAATAGTTAAACACAATATATTTATAAAATATGTAGAATAAACAATTAAGATAGCCACATAAGTTGGCCGAAACATTTGACATATTTTAATTAAAAAATGATGTACTGAAATAAGATATTTTAATAGAATTAGGTGAACATAATAGCCCATAAAAAAAATAAAATAATGACATTCAAATAATTTTTTGGTCATTGAATTAACCAATTTTTTAGAATATACACAAAATATATGTATAGATTACAACTCAACCTCTAATACAATTTTTTTATCATCCTTAAACCACTAATTTAGTAATTATTTAGACTATAATGATTATTAACTTATTATTAATAATGAATATTATTATTATTAAAAAAAATAAATTATTATAAACTGTTATAACATTAAATTCATTAAATATTTATGGCACAAAACTTACTACCTTTTTAATAATTATTACGACGGTCTCTTTTTATATATTTGGCACAGTGCAATCTTATGTTTGTATCAAACGAACCTAAAGGTGGTGAAGTTGAAAATAATCATGGGATTTAAAATGGAATTTGTGTCATTTTTGAGAGTATATGTGTTAATTTGTGTCCTTATCAATTAAATATCCATACCGTATAAGACCTTTTCTGCTCTATACCTTCAAGCAGAACTTGCATCATGCATGAAAGTGAAAACGAAATTTAAATTAAATAAAAGTTGAAGTAAGATTTTGATTTCAGTTTTTATGTCATTCGGTTGTTTATGGGCGTATATATGTGTTCATAAAAGCAAATACAGAGTTTGATATTGAGGCCTGTGATTTTAGTATAAATATTTTTCCTTTAGTTCTAAGTAAAAATATATATGGAAACCATGGATGATATCAACTTTGTTGTGTTGAAGGTTTGTGACTAGATTTATCAACAAAATTTGAAAATTGCCATATACATCTTAATATTTTAACATTTATTTTAGATAAATGGTGTGTGCGTAAATAATTTAACACACGATGAAACTTCTAAAATGTTCCTTAATACTGATGGCGACAAATCCGTTTGTATTGAAGTTCGCCAAAGATGTGGTACACCATTTGAGAAACTCTACAATAAGAGTCAGAAACCTGAAAATATTTTTAAGGACGTAAGAGATCTGGAAATAAATGCACCACAGAAATTTGATGAGATTAAAGATAATATAAATGTTTCTGACGTAACTCAAATGCACAATGAAAATAGTTTTTCCGTACTTAATAACATTATATTAACATTGAAGCCATTGAGTTTAAATTTGGATATAAAATCAGATTCAATTACTTACGTTTCAAAATATACTCAAACGGAAGAAAGCAAATCCTTACCGGATATAAATATACAAGATCAAAAACAATCTATTATAGAACAGTGTATGGCACCAGAAATTTACATTGAGGTATGTATCTACTATGTAGAAATATATGTATATTAATCTCAGAGATTATATAAATGGCGTTTCCAAATAATGGAAAAATGCAGTAAGAGACTATGCTTAAACACACACTCCATATTAAGAGTTCCAAAATAAACATCACCAATATTATAAGAATACAGTATAAACAATTTTTTTTTTGTGTTGTTGCCTCAGATATCGAATATCAATAAACTATATAAGTCATTATAGGTAAAAAAAGAAATAGAAATATTGTTATAGGAAGAAAATATTTTAAAGAAGGTAAATCCTAACGAGAATTAGAAATACCATCGAATGTGTTATTTTCCGGAGTATAAAATGTCGTTTTAAATAAAAACAAAATAAAGTTGAAAATATGTCAAAAAGTTTACTTCAAAAAATACTTTACTGTCGAGATTTTAGTTCACACCTTTATAAAAGTGACCAAGATGCCAAAACTTAGTACCCTAAAACTAGCAGACGTTAGTGCTGCTAAGAAAAAACAGAACGAACAGTTTTGAAAAATCATTTCAATAAAAAAATAGGCAATTGTAATTCGCTGACAATTGCAAATTTATTTTGGTAATGGATTCCTAGTAAATGACGAAATCTAACACCGGTCATCAATCAACAAATTAGGTCCCAACCGTAAAGCACAGGTAATAGAGTGATGACTTACGGAACAATAAGTGTAGCTGGTGTTAAAAATTTAGCCTTAATTTATATATAATTTTGAATATGCTAAGTGGTTAATTGCTTTAGAAGTACTCAGCTTTTTAATTTATTTTAGAAAAAATATATTTTATTGTTATCATTATTTCGACTATAGTCTATACTTATCCTTATGGTACAAAGATAATACCAATGTTAATAATACAGTCTTAGTTTATGGTGTAATTGATCAACATTAATATAATATTAAGAGCATAACAACATTTACAGCCTTTTGCCCATACCATTAGTTTGGAAAATTACTTTGGGAGGCCACTTGCCTCAAATTTTCGGTAGTGCATTCAGTTAAGTAAACACGATCATTTGAGAGTTTATGAATTGCTCAATGGGGAAATTTTTCTCATCAAAAAACACACTGTTTGGAAATTCGACACTTTCGTACAAGCGTAACAATACATTTTGTTATTTGAGTCTTCATATTTTGTTGCTTTGGTGTAAAATCTTGAACCTTTTGGAATGTGTAAGGTTTCACCTTAAGCTCATTTTGGAATAAGCGTTAGATGCTTTGCTGGGTTTTTTTTAGTTCTTTGGTCGTTTTATCACCAGATTTCGTTTAAGTCCAGCCTTCACTCTCCGAACCATTTCAGGTGACGTTGTGGTTTTTTTTTAGCCCACCACCATAGTGTTTAACTACGTTGCCTGTACTATTGTAACGATTTATGGTACGATACACAAACATTGACTTTGAGGTCTTTGAGCTCACACACAAAAGCTGGTTGTGATTTTCCAGCCAAATATAACTCAATAACACTATTATGTTTGATTTCCATTTCGAATAACCTTTGTTCTATAAAACTAGCTTGTAAACAGTGATAGCTTGTAAACAGTGATATCTTGTAAACAATATAAGCACCTGTCTTTCCTATGTTTTCACGTAGTTGGCAATATCAGTTTGACAGAAATACCTGTGTGTAGTTGATAATAATTCAATTGCTTAACCCTAACATATCAAAATATATAAATAAGTTTTCATATCAATATTTGATACGCGATATTGTATCATATATTGTTAAATAAAAAATATTCATTTTAGTTAGACGTTAATTGAAATATAAAGAAACAAAGAGCTTTCTGAGATCTCTCACATGCATAAACCAAGTTATGCTGATCTTGATTTTATTAACATAAATTTATTTAGCTGCAGTGGAGTGGGAACATAATATTAAATAATATATAAAAATTATTTGAACATATCTTACAAAAATGAGCAATTTATATCGGAAGAATAGCAAATGTCTGTTATCTGTTACAGTAAAATTAACAACAAATAAATAATAAAGTAAAAATAATTGTGTTTTGATTTCTTTTAAATTCAATTTACTATTTATGTATGAATTACAAATTTACTTACAAGCAATTTCCAAATAAATTTCAAATTAATACATAATTTGTAAAGGTTGTATAAATTTATTTGCATTTTCATTACAGCAGAACTAGAAAATAATAAAGACCTTAAAAGTTTCCTATTTTAAGTATTATTGCTAGATTGTTTCTGCTATGCTACGGTAGACGATACACTAATATTTAGTATTCGTTGATAGTTAATGACAGTTGCTATGTTTAGATTACACAAACATTGGGTAAAAACAAGTGAGTAGCAAAAGCGCTATATTCTGTAATAATTAAAAAACGTTTATTTCTAAAAAATGGTCATTTTTATTTCAATCGACATATTTCTCATCGTAAGTTAAGACTTTTGACTATTTTTCTGGTAAATTATAGATTTCATGGAAAAAAATTCGGTTATCGCGCGATTTTTTGTTCTCTTAACTAATAAAAAATATAACTGAGTGACAAAAGGTAGAAGGCATAGGACGAAAATTTTATTATTTGTCGTGTAGCTACAGAATAGTGCTTTATATTTTAGGTGTGGGTTGATCAAAACAAAATACATCGAATAGAAAGCAGCGGACAATTTAAAAATCTGAAGATGAAAAGGAGCAGGTCCTATTTTCGACCATTAACTGATATAGCTTTAACAGGAAACTAGATAACCATATGTTTTCCGGTTTTCCTTAGAATTTTTCGCAAAATCAATATTTTAGATGTTTTTTGAAACTTAAAAACAATAAATAAATAAAAATAACTTTTTTCCAAGAACTGTTACAATATATAGCAAAAGGCGCGAAGTTATGGGTCAACAGATGTTGTACATTAAATCTTCTTATCTTAGTTGGCCATTACAGACGTGTGTCGTCCTTGGCCGCGTCGAGTAGCCTCCGCCAGTCAGCCCGATTAGTTGCTTTCTGACGTCAGTTGGTAGTACCGAGCGCCCCCAAATCGTTGGTCACCTGGTCCTTCCACCGAAGATGCGGACGTCCTCTACCGCGTTTTCCACCTGCGGGTACCGAGTCAAATACCTTTCTAGCTGGAGCACTTTCTTCCATTCGCACGACATGACCAAGCCAGCGTAGCCGCTGAATTTTTATGCGCTTAACTATGTTAATGTCGCGGTATAGCTCATACAGCTCATCGTTCCATCTAATTCGATACTCGTCGCCAACGCGTAAGGGATCATAGATCTTTCGAAGAATTTTTCTCTCGAATGCTCCTAACGCCTTCTCATTACTGTTGGTAATTGTCCAAGCTTCTGCACCATACAGCAGGACAGGCATGATAACGGATTTGTGAGCGTGATTTTTGTTTGTCGAGAGAGGGCTTTATTTCTCAATTGCTTACTTAGCCCGAAGTAACATTTGTTGGCAAGAGTAATTATTCGTTGAATCTCTAGGTTGACGTCATTTTTGGTGTTTAAGCTGGTTCCTAAATAAACAAAGTCTTTCACAACTTCGAACTTATAATTGTCAACAGTAACGTAGGTCCCAAGACGCTCAGGAGATTTGTTTGTTGACAGAAAGTACTTTGTTTTGTCCTCATTTACCACAAGACCCATTTGCTTTGCTTGTTTTTCTAAGTTGGAAAATGCCGCACTGACGACGCGAGTGTTCAGACTAATGATATCAATATCGTCGGCATACGCAAGCAGCATTACACTTTTGTAGAATATTGTGCCAGTACGGTTTAAATCTGCTGCTTGAATTATCGTTTCCAACATTAGGTTAAAGTAGTCACACGACAAGGAGTCACCCTGTCTGAAACCTCGTTTGGTATCAAACGGCTCGGAGAGGTATCAACGTCATTTTACATAGCCGTAAAAGTTTTGCTGGGATACCAAATTCAGACATAGCGGCATAGAGTGTACTTCTAGTAGTAGTGTCAAAAGCAGCTTTGAAGTCGACAAATAGGTGGTGTGTGTCGATTTGTTTTTCTTGAGTCTTCTCCAGGATTTGACGCACTGTCTGGTCTAGAGTGGATTTGCCAGGTCTGAAGCCACACTGATAAGGTCCAATCAGTTGGTTGACGATTGGCTTTAATCTTTCACATAGTACGTTTGACAGAACCTTATATGCGATATTTAAAAGACTGATCCCGCGGTAGTTGGCGCAGTTTGCAGGATCACCTTTTTTGTGGATTGGGCAAAGCACACTTAAATTCCAATTGTTGGGCATGCATTCATCCGACTAAATGTTGCGAATTAGCTGTAGCATGCATTTTGATAGCTCTTCGCCACCAGCTTTAAACAGCTCAGCCGGTAAACCATCGGCGCCTGCAGCTTTGTTGTTTTTGAGCCGCGTTATAGCTGTTTTAACTTCATTATGATCGGGAGGCGGGACGATTATTTCATCGTCAACGATTGAAAATTCGGGATCATCTTCGCTTTCAGTCATATTGCTACTACCGCCATTTAGTTTTCATTACAGTTTTCATCTTTGCAGGAATTAGCTCCGGGTTTATAACCATTTGTCAAGCTTTTAATTTTTTGATAGAATTTTCGAGCCATATTCCTGTCGTCCAGCTTCTCAAGCTCTTCGTACTCACGTCTTTCTGTTTCCTTCTTTTTTCGCCTGAAAAGACGTTTTTCTTCCCTTCTCTTTTGCCGATATCGCTCTTTAACAGCGCGCGTCGCAACTGCATATCAAGCCACCGCAGTGTGGCTTGATATGCTGCGTCTTTCTCTGCGGTAGCATTGCGACACTCTTGGTCGTACCAGCTGTTTCTTTGTATACGGTGATAGCCGATCACCTCTTCTGCAGCGGTACGCATAGAGTTGGAGATGTGGTTCTATTGCGCGCATATATCGACTTCTTCAGATGAATTTTCCAGATATTGGGAGAGTCGAGTAGCGAAGTCATTAGCTGTCTGTTGAGGTTGTAGCTTTTCGACGTCTAGGTTTCCTGTGCTTGTTCACGTACCTTTTTCATCGCACATAA